ACAAACCTGGGTCAAATAGTGACGGTTACAGTATGAGGCTTTCATTAAGGGTGAGCGGTTGCTCATACCAGACCAAGTATCTAAGCAGGCAAAAGATTTTTGTCTAGGTGGGTGACAGTTTAACCTTTGTGAGGTGAGTGAGCTTGTGTGCTCAGTGATTATGAGAGTATATGTAGCTAATAGAAAACTGGTATGAAAGGCTGGGATCACTGTCTAGTGTCTGTCTAGCATTTTCTTTGGATGAGAAGTCAGAGTAAACCGTTGTGACAGAGGAGCATTAAACAGGTGGGTAGAGATTTGTTGATGCATAATTTTTATTTGCTTGTAGTATCAGCTATGACAGGATTTCCCCTTGTGGAATCCTCAGGAATTAGTAGCTTCATTGTTTTGCTTTTTGTCTTCCTTTTCCCCCTCCATATGTCTTGAGTGGAAGGACTGCCACCACTCACTGAAGACAATGTTCATGTTGGGCTCTGGGAACAGCTACAGATGTTTGTTGCCATATTTTCAAACAAACAGTGACAACAAGTTCCTACTGGAGTAGGGTATCTGATTATCTGCTTTGAATTATGTCAGCAAAGCAGATTAGCAAAATTTGGGGAGCACAGTTTGTTTTCTTGTGGCTTCAGGGTAGATTAGACAGAATAAAGTCTTTCTGGTTTGTGTTAACAGTATTAAATAAGACTGACGATTTGCATTTAATGCTGAGTGTCAGGTGACTAGTGCTAGGTTGAATCCTCAGTTCCCTGTATGTAATGAGGATGGAACTACCTTTCTGGTTTTAAAAATAGAGTGGAAATACCCTTCAGGGAACTAGAACAACTGCTCTTAATTCATGCCCAGTAACTTGTAGCATGCAGTGCTCAGACTTCCATTTTCAGAACGATGCAGGTGATAAATATCTTTGCTGTTATCTTCTTTTTTCTTCTGTGTGGTTTTTTTTTTTCTTTTTTAATGGAGGTGCATGACCATATAGCACAAGGAGCTTCTTTCTACTTTTCCCCCTCTTTCTCTCTCCCTCCTTAAAAGAAACACCTGAGTATTAAGTAATTTTGCATAACTTTGGAACAATCCTCAGTGTCGTTTTTCAGGCTATGATGCTTGACACTTAAGCAACTCATAAGAAATCTGTCGGTTGAAGGCGAGTAAAATATGGCAGGATGGAATATCAGAAAACAAACAGCATGGATATAAATAATAAAAGGAAGATATTTGGATCACTAACAGGGAAATGGACCTGTCAGCTCTGACTGCAGTGTCCCTTTGAGCCAGAGGGAAAAAACAGCTTATTACACCATCCACATACTTTTCTTGTATGGATGAGGTATTGAAAGGTTCTTGATTTACTTATTTTTATTTTTTCCCAATTTGTATAATATATAGAATTTGGCTAGCAGTAATCAGCGATGCTAATCCTTGTGATGGATTGGACTCTCTTATTTCTGAAGAGAAAAGCTGTTATGTCAATTCAAGTGTTCTGTCAAATTTTGATTAGCCGTCTGTAAATTCAAAGGAAAAAGCACCAGATTAAATACAGTCCATTGTAGTTCTTTTATAACATTTCATACAAAGATATCTTAATATAAGTTACAGCAGATAAAATATCAGTCCTGTTTATTCCTTTTACTGGAAAGACTGTTCTGTCACTCCGCCTTGCCTTAATTCCTTTCTTCTGGCTTGAAGAATGGAGATGTATATGGTTCTCCTGCCATTGTGAGAACAGCAATTTTGAGTGCAGCCCTGTTCTGTACTGCTTTGAACTAAAGCTCTTGCAAGTCTGTAGGGATCTGAGTAACTGCGTTGCATTGTATGTCAAAGAATTTGAAAAAAGTTTTAATTTTGAAGACCTCCATAGCAAATTTTTTTTTTTTTTTTTAAATCCAGACACAAGTTTTGTCTGGTCAAGGCTGTCTCCTGCCTGACTATAGATAATATCAGATTAACATTTTGCCATCCTTAAGCTGTTAAGGTTGATTGGTGTTTTTTTCTTGAGATATGATAAAATGGATTCTGATCCTATCTGTAGTTGCTTACTTTTGCTGTTGTTGATTAGAAAAGAAAGGGGTAGTGAGGGAGGGAAGATAAACTTTTCAGGTTGTAAATTCCAGTGCTGGGTGTATGGCATAGGTTGAAATCTTTTTTGGGAAAACTTCAGAGGTGGAAGATCTGGCTGGCAACCTGTCACGTGAAGGAATCTTTTCTTGCTTTTTCTACTTCCCTAATCAACAGAGTAGAGGCAAGCTTGAATGGACGTACTTGCCACACTTCTTTCAGATGAACTATGGGAGACAGAGATACTAGATTGAAAGGGCTAGAATGAGAGCAGCAATCTCTGACAGTCATTGGTTTGAGCGATAGGAGGAGAGAGGCCTGTATTATGGAGGTGGGCAATGTAGTTTTGCTTTCTGTTTCTTGTTGTTTGCAAAGTATATGAAGAGGTAGTCCAGTTAACCTGCCATTCAAGTTGTTCACGTACTGCATACACAAGCTTAAATGAATCAAGGCTGTGTTTGTGAATGAAAGTGTCTGTAGCTGCTGTTTGTGTTGAGTTCACTTCTGTTATGCACACGCAAAGCACACCTGCAAGAATAACATTTTCTCAAACAGATGCTGGTCCACCTACTTTTTAAACACTTGACTGACATAAGAGGTTAGTGTCTAGCTGCTTTGAGAATTTCTGAGCATGTGTATGTAGCTGTACTATAGACACTTGAACAGATTGTGGGACTAAGTGGTGGTTAAGCACAAAAGGTCCTTTGGATTTAGGTAGCTAAAGTCCAAGTCCTGTTTTAAGTGTGTAACTCCTCATTTGACTGTGTTTTCTAACCTGTTTTTTGCAATAACTAGGCTTTTATTATTTTTAGTATGTAAAGGAACGATTCATAAATGTAATGAAACATACTGATTTAGATTAAAGATGTAGTGTGGCTAATGTCTCTGGCTGTGGTTATTACCAGACATTTCAAGGGGAAAAAAAAAAAAAACCCAACAGGTTTCCTGTTGGTCAGTCTTAACCCTAGTACATTCTCTAGCTTCAATTAGCAGTGAAGGGGCTTGTACTGGCAACATCTGGACATGTCTTGATAGCTAATGTCCTTGAATTCTTGTACTGCTTGTAGCAGTTTATACTTCTGCGGTGTGTGACACTGTCACATTGTGTTCCACAACTTATGTGCTGTCCAAGGAAGACTGGACATCTGTTTTCTTGTGTCGTGGTAAAGGGAGAGATGTGAGAAGAGATGCAGACAAAGCCAGTGAATTAATGTTGATCTAACGTTGCAGTAGGTTAGGTGGCAGACTGTTACTTCACAACATTTTTACTTATAAGCTGATTCCTCTACAGAGACTCATCACTTTGATCTCCATGTTTGCACTATGGATAAAGCAGTAGATTCACAGTTCTTTTGGCATGTAGTTATTTGACAGACAGTGAATTATTTTGTTGAGCAAGAGTGAACTGTTCCTCTTCAGAAGCTTTTTTTCTTTCTTTTTTGAAGATCAAAAAAAGAATCTTAACCCTTAGTGTTTTCTCTTACCCAGTTCTATCTGACTTTAAAACAAGCCTGTGCTGTGCATGTTAATCTTAGATGGCCTAGATAAAACACTTACTTTCCTAAGTAAGGTACTTGTTTGCTTTTTGTTCACGTTTGTTTCTTCATCTAATCAGCCACTTACTGGTTGTCTACATGTATTTTCACTTCCTTAATTTCATATTGCTGCATGTCGTACTTAATGGTCTTTGTAGTGTTCCCTTTCTAATATTTTTCTCAAGCTGAATTCCTTTTAAAGTCTAGAGGAATACTTGTCTGAAAAAGACTTGGCTTGTTCTTATTTGTACTACAGGTAAGTACTCCATTTGTTTTCCCTTATAAACTGTGAGTGGACTGTGGTTTTAGCTTTTAAGACCGTCACCTACAGAACCTATCATCTCACATTGTGTCCCTCCTGTCTAATCTATATTAAAGCTCAAAGTAATACCTTATGGCACAAGATACTGAAGTTATTCTGGCCATGTGATGTTCTGTGAATCCTACTTTCAACTGCCTAACCGTACTCAAGGTTTTCCAAGTAATAATAAAATGGAATTTTACAGATTTTTTTCTAATGTGCAAATATGTTTGATAAAAATCTCTTAAAGAAGTGTGGTTGTTAGTTGTTATTATAATGGAAATTATGTGTCACAAAAATTGAAAGATTTTTTTTCTGTTTAGCATATTATAATGACAAGAAAAATCTTCTGTACAATGTCAGAAATTTGGTGAGGCACCAGTTGGACAAAATACCTTCTCAGAAGATGACAGAGAAGGTGGTGATACAAAGCATTAGTAGCATTGGTGAATGTGTTCTTTATTGCTGCAGAATAGACACAGACATATCTTCCACCTCTGTGGTCTAGTATCTTAAATGACACACATAAAACCAAAACATGAATAGCTGATGAAGCTTAAAACATGAAGAATTTTCTAGTTTTCTTTTAACTTGCTGTTGAACACACTGCCTCTTGCAGGGTACTGAAGGAAAATGTTAACTCCTGTGTGTAGACCCCAGAGATACCAGGGAAATACTGTAAAGGCTGAAAGAAATGCCTCTTGGTTGGGGAAAAGAGGTGGATGCTTGTTCTGTTTTTTTGGGGGTTGCTTTTTTTTTTTTCCCCTTTGGTTTGGTATATTTCTTACAGACCAAAATACTTGTTCTTTATACCCACATGCTGAACATTCTGTTCAAGATATGTTAAATGGATCACCTAAATAGAACAGGAAGCTGTAATACTGGGGGAGGAAAGAGGGACAGCTTTATATTCACCTTACTAAAGTATATACTGTATAACAGAATATGTCATTCTAGTTTAGGACGCTTGCAGAAATTTGATGATGCTTTTATGTCATGCTTCTTTCCTAAGTATGCTAACACCTATTAATCAGAATGCTTTAAAGCAATGTTTTTGTCATGTTTGCATTGCTATCTTTAAGTTTTGTGTTTGTTCTTTCTGTACCTAGGGATAGAGCCCAAGCTGAACATCCTTGAAATTGTGAAGCCTGTTGAGACTGTGGAAGTAGTGATTGATCCAGATGCTCATCATGCAGAGGCTGAAGCTCACCTTGTTGAGGAAGCTCAGGTGATAACCTTGGATGGAACAAAACATATTACAACAATTTCAGATGAAACCTCTGAACAAGTGACACGATGGGCTGCAGCGTTGGAAGGCTACCGAAAGGAGCAGGAGCGCCTTGGAATACCCTATGGTAATAATACATGACTCTGTGTGTGTATGCACGTGTGTGTTCAGGTAGAGGCTGGGTTCTTTTGTTCATTTGGGGGATTGGTGTTTTTTCATAAACGATAATTAATTTTGCTTATGTAATTAAAGTGCTCCAGTACCTCAGAGAAGGCTTCTTATGGTATGGGTAAGTACAATGCAAATATCTGCATAAGAGAAGGCTAAAGAGAAGGAGAGTCAATGCTTGTAATAGTTTTATTAAAATCGTGCTTTTTGCCCCATAACCTTCTTGTCATTGCAGTTTTTAGAAAGCAGTTTTCTTCTTCCTCCCCTGCTGAAAAGTATGTGTGTTAGTGATAAAGCTCTTTTTCATGTGCGTCTGAATTTGAGCTAGACTCAGTACTTGGTGGGAGTTGCCTCTAAAGATACTGAAACAAATTGTTCATAGGTTGTAGCATGCCGAGTATCGTGTTAAATTAGATTTTGCATGGAAAGCCATACTTGACTTCAACATACTAGAAAAAGATGATTCAGAACTGAATATAAGTATTCTAGTAGGTCATCATCTCTTTTGAATTAATATTGTTACTTAGCAGGCTGCTAATTCAATTTTAGCTTAGAAAAAGCATCTCTGAATGTCTGCTTAGGATTGAACTGAAACTGTGGGTTTTAGACCTATATCACGTTCAGGAGATTATCCAGCTGAGCTGCTTGTGACTTGCAGAAATGTACTGTCAAGGCATATTCAGCACATGAAGCTGTAGTATCTAAGCAGACCTGCAAAACTGGAATGTATTTGGCAAGTGGGATATTTGGAAGTGTTTAAGAATTCCAGTGAAGTCACAGGTCTTTGCAGGACATGTAGCTTGCCGATATTTTGAATGTATTTTTGATAACTAAAGCAATGTCTTTTTCCATGCCTTTTTGTTGTTCTCATTGGCAAGCACTTCCAAAATAGTTTTCATCATGCTATGCCTGTTGATAATCAGGGATTTGATGCAGAATATTTGAAAAAAAAGTGAGGCATTATCAGGAGCAGACTGGTATTTTTCAGCATGCTCTTCCATTAATATAAGAAGAAAACTACTTAAAACCATGTTGGTTTTATGTTGAATAATGTTGTTAATAAACTTAAATAATGTTGCTGCTTTAAGAAAACTCTATAACCCACAGCTGTGACTTTAATGTCTTTTGTGTCATGGGAGTGCAGATTTTCCAGGAAAATCGTACTAGCTCATTATGGCAGAGATCTATGTATTAAGAATAATAGTGTTCTCCTGATATCAGAAAAATGTGCTAAACAACATTTAAAACTCTATTATTTCTTGGAAGGTAATCTGAGTTGACATTGCAGGGACTTGGATTGAAATAAGGCACCACTAAGTTCTACATTATGATACAGTCAGAAGTTTCTGAGAATAAAGAATGTTCTTAAGGTTCTTATGTAGTCCCCAAAAAAGCCCCCCTTTTTTTTTTCCAACATTTATAAATATAGAGGCCAGTTTCCTTCAAAGAGTTGTGAGTCTTGGTTCTGTTAACTTCTCTGAAATTATTAATCTGAAATTATTCCTTGAATCTTTTCAAAAGACAGGGTATGTTGATATTAAAAGTCTAGTCTAGTCAGTAAATAATCATCATCCAGAAAGGTAGTGGTTCAGTGTCTTCATCCTTACAGGTTTCTCTGTTTTGCTGCAAATGGAGAATTAGGTTTTTGCAGGTCTTTAAAATGTGGCTTTCCCTTTGTGTTATGTTTTGGGGTTTTATTAGAGATTACAAATTCTTAGCTGTTAAAGGTATTTCTGCTAATAGAATCCAGAAATTTGGTACCATTGCAAAGATCCTAGGAAGAAGGAAAATATTAATTGGTATGAGAAATAAAACCAGAAAAGGGAGCAGCAGAAAGCTTGGAAACCATGGAACTGGTTAGAGAAAGCAGTGATTTTTGCTACTTTGAAGATTATGTTCTGTCAATGAGAACGAATTAGCAGCTCTTTTTATGCAAATTCACTGCTGATAGCATTTTGAAGACCAAAAACTTTTTGGTGTGGCTTTTCCCAAAGGATTACATTACATGGTTTTAGGTAGCATCAGTGAAAAATGATACAATGTTACTGTCTTCTATTAAGCAAAATGGATTTGTGGCTCCTAGATAGTGTTTATAGACTTAGAAAGCTTTGCTTTCTTTAATTCTTAAAATAAAAACTTGTCAAGGTGGCATCTGTTTGGGGTATCGTAATTTAAAAATACATAATTATTCTCTCCTGTTTTTTGCCCTTGAGACAGTGAAAGTAAATATTCCTGCTTTAGTTTCCATTTCCAGTTCTTACCCATTGATGTGTTTTAATATATTGCATACAGCGTTAAGAAAGTTTTGAAGATGATGCTTAGATTTACCCATCCTCTTTCTAGCTTGTTCACACTAACACTGCTTGAAACAACAGACGACTTATGTTAAAATGTCGAGTCAACAAATCATGTATTGCACGTATCTCAAATTGATTATTTATTACCATTTCTGTATGTTCCTCTGCTGAGTGAGTTGTCTATACTTCTGTGTGTTTGGCACTGGCATTTAAATGACGTGCATGTTATGTTCTGTTGAAATGTTGGGAGTCCCAGAACTTGATGCTGTGGCTTGTTTGATTCAAATACAGGCATGCATTGTATCAAATCGTGGTTTAATGGTTTATTTAATGTTGTCTTTCTAGATGTGGTGTGTTACACTTACTGTTTTATATATTTATCTCTTTATATATGGATATATACATACATACACACAGGCATATATATCTATATATACACACAGAGTACGTGTTTATTAGCCCACCCCTGTGGTGGGGCTGACCCCAGCTCGCAGGTGAGCCTCCACCCAATCACTTGCTCACTTCCCCTTCAGAGGCATGGGGGGAAGAATCAAAAGGGCCAAAGCATGTTAAAAAAAAAAGGAGGGGGTCAAGATAAACACAACTTAATAAGCTGTCCTGGCTGTGTCCCCTCCCAGTTTCTTGTGCACCCCCCACCTACTTGCTGGGGTGGCCGAGTGAGAAACAGAGAAGGCCTTGTGTCAGAGTCCAATACTCTCTGACCAGGTTCTTTTAGATATTCCATGCATGGAGGGTGTAATGTTTAATACCGAATTTATTTGAAGATGGTTGATGCTACATGGGATTTCTGATTTAGCAGATTGATCCAAATACTAAAAAACCCAGTACAAATGTAAGTTACACTTAGAAAAATACAGCAATTGCGATATGCTGTTCAATCACAATACCAGTGTGATTCCCATTACCCGTCTCTAATATGCTCACCCTCATGACGTCGGGTGTCCCCCGTTGCCAGGAAGGAATACATGGGTTGAAACGAGCCCAAGCCCGTTGTTCTCTTCGAAATTCTTTGGCTGGTTGCCTAGTTTGTGTACTCTGTGTTGGGCTGAGCAATGTATTCACTCCCCCCATGCTCATCTGGCTGACTCAGGGAGACGTTTACACCACCAGTTGATCCGCTCAGCTGTTGATAGCTGTATATCTAAAAGAAAGGTCACCTTCCATCTCCTTTTTATTGAGATAAAGTCAGCTTCTTTGCATTGTTCTCTGAGCTGCATGGGCACTCCACCCTTGCCCATGTCCTCTGAGCCGTCTTCCACTGTAGGAGAGTCAGTTCCACCCCTTAGGCTTTAGTCAGTCACACCTTGACTCTGTGCCAGCACTGCTCAGCAGTAGCTAAAGCATCTGTGTGTCACCAACCTAAAACATGGGACCATACGGGCTGCTATAAAGAAAATTAACTCCATCCCAGCCAAACCCAGTACGATGGTGATTTTAAATAGTTTAGAAACTGGGATAATGTGAATGAGTTTAGAATGTAAGATTTCGTCATAATCACATGCTGATCAACATATTTGAGAAAGAGCATCCCAGTGTGAGAGCGACTGCTCTTTTTTGAAACTAAAGCCCTATGGAAAAAGAAAAATAATTATTTTCTGTGTTTGAGAAATGTTGGGCGTGGTTCTGATGTAAAAGCTTTTGCTAAAGAAAATCCCTTTTTTTGCCCTTTCTGTCTCCCCACCAAGCAACACCACTCCATCAGCATTTTAAGAGGAGTCAACTTCCCATCCAGTCAGATTTGGTCATGGTAACGACACTTCTTGGTGTTATGTATTTTATCTTATGGAAGTTGTTGTATAATTGAAAATATATCATCATTGGACTTAAACTGAATAGCAGCACTGACTGGCATAGAAGCAGGACCTTTTAAAAAATAAACAAACATGTAGGTAACAAGAACCCCCTAAATAAAGTTTTGTAAAAGGCCTTCAGAAAAGGTTGTACAAAAAAAATTAACTCCTGGTTACGCTTGTTTGAATGCTGTGGATCAGTAGCCACTTGTATTTCATTCTTGTCAGTTACAGTATGGACTAGCTTTGTATCCTCAGTGAGGACAAACCTTGCAGTATATAATGGGGCGATTTGCAGTTTTGTCTCTCTTTTCCCAGACCCAGTGCAGTGGTCGACAGACCAGGTGCTCCATTGGGTGCTGTGGGTGATGAAGGAGTTCAGCATGACTGACATTGACCTCAATGCGCTCAGCATTCCCGGGCGGGAGCTCTGCAGCCTCAGTCAAGAAGACTTCTTCCAGCGCGTCCCGCGGGGAGAAATCCTCTGGAGCCATTTGGAGCTTCTTCGAAAGTGTATGGGACATTTTCCTGTAACTGATTCTACTTATTCCCCCTCCCCGCTTCTCTCTTTGCTCTCACCCCCCCCTTCCTTTAAAGATGAAGCTGATTGTGAGCAGTTGTTTTTCCTCTAATATTGGCAGTAAAAATGAGGGCATCGATAAAGATAACAGGAGGTACTAGTGAGAATGTCTGCTGTTATGAAACATGTCTGCATACTAAACACTGTTTGCCTGTCTTTCATCAAACTTCGTAACTAATAAGGAGGAAGTAATGACTGATGATTCCTCCTTTGTTTTAATAAAGATTTTTAGTTTGTGTATCTCTTGAATTTGACAGTTTTATAATTAAATATTGATTGTGAGTTATTTAATGGACGTCTCTGTCATATAGAAGTGAAGATTATTAAGCATAGGCAATGAAATCCTTAGATTGTACACAACATAACCGATAAGTGATGCACTGTATGTCTCTAATACAATAATTTATGTGTGCATTTAAGATTTACCGTGCTTAGATGCAACTTGGCAGACCAAAAACTATTTTCATCTTCATTTACATGACATGCATTCTCCATCCCCTAAAAGCTTTAGCTATAAGATGCCTTGCAATTCACCATGTACATCCTTATTTCTAAAAATTGAATGACAGGTATTAAATGTCTACTCATAAGACCATGATCTATGCATGTCTCTTGCAAACTGATACCAAATTTTGACTTTTTTCCTCTATGAAATATGAAAGTTTTTGATCTTCAGGTGACTTGAAATTTGTGGGTAAAATAGAAACTTCCTTCTTTTTTTTTTTTCCCTAATTTGCAGATGTGTTGGCTAGCCAAGAACACTCTGGAGAAATAGCAACTGTTACTATTGATCAGCGTAAGTACTTCTGCCAGCAGTTAATTCACACAACTAACTGTTTGCAGGTTTATCACTCTACTTTGGTTCAGTGTTGTAATAGTACAACATTTAGAAAATCACTCAAGAGAGTAGTTTGCCTTGGTGAGGGGAGGAGGGCATATTTTAAACTTCAAACCAAAATGTTGGGTTTCTTGATATTGTGTTACTGGTCGAAAAGTGATGTTATGACCTGAACTATGAGAGTTTCTAACTTTTATTTTGGATGGTGCGTTTTCCACTCTCTTGAAATAAGCTCTCTAGGATACCTATTTGAGGTCTTGAGTTCTGGGTTTTTAGGTTATATTTTGCATTAATTAATAGATCTATTAAAATGTTACAATTTCAAAAGAAAGCATTTCCAAAAACTGAAAGGGAGTGTGGAAGAGAGGACTTGCTTAGAAACCAATACTAGGAAAAAATACATTAAAGTAACTTCCCAGTTATTTGAAACTCATTCTTCCAGCTGAAGCAGTGTCATCAATTATTAAAATGAATCCATTTTCAGAAGACTGGTAATCAGCTTATATGTTAAATAGACAGACTGTGTATTAGTTAAAGCCAGCTAGAGCAGAGCATTTGCATCCTCTTATACCATTGCAATAGAAGGATATTTAATTGCTGTTTGAATAGCAGATATGGAGGGTTGTACAGTGACTATAGAGAAGAGTACATTAGATTAGATCATATGGGAACAGCATAAAGATGAAAACAAAGGCATGAGAGGGTGTTTTTCTTTTGTGGAAACATGTAATACACATGATAGTAAAAGTAATGTGACATCTATGATCTCTACGACAAGCCTAAACCCACAATTTCCAATGTAATAGGGAAAAAGTCTAAATTATTCTTAGCATTGTGACTTATACAGTGTGTCTTTTTAGCAAAGGAAAAAACTAGCTCCTAGATGTTATGATAATACAGGTAATAAATAATATATGCCTCTTTCTGTGCCAGCAATTTATAATTGATGTTTTGCAATGTTCTCTGCTTTACAGCTGTGCAGATTATTCCAGCATCTGTACAGCCTGCTACCCCAACCACCATTAAAGTAATAAACAGCAGTGCAAAGGCAGCTAAAGTACAGAGAGCTCCAAGGATCTCTGGGGAAGATAGAAGTTCCCCTGGGAACAGAACAGGTATTGTCTCCATTATTTTTAAATGCAACTGCAGTAAACACTCATTAATTTGAATTACAGTTTTGTAGAACACATCTTTGTCACTCTAAAATGTGAGGTTTGTAGAAGTCCATGTGGTATGAAGAGGACTGTAGCTACAAAATATTTTGCAAGCACATGCAGACCTGGCAGGCTGGTTAGCTCACACAGGCACTATTTTAATGTGGTGCTGCAGCTTTTGAGTCCTGCAGTAAATAAAATGCATAAAATTGTTTCTCTTCCTATCATTTAATAGTCTGTGTCCTCTCAAACCACTGCATAGCATTTATTCAAGCTTTTAACTCCTTTCTGCTTTCCATTTGCAGAAAGGGGAGAAAATAAATATGTTGTAGAATCCTAGCCTAGCTACTACTTGCCCTGCTTATTCCCCTATTCCCCTCCCTCTCCCCGGTTCGGTGGCTTTAGAATTTAGCAAGTTTCAGATTTCTTGTTTTGTTAAATGAATGCACCTTCTGGTAAACTGCACACTAAATCTGAAGTTTATTTTTGGAATTACTGTTATTTGTACATACTCTGTAATTATTAATAAGTCATCTGAATTTTTTAATCTTATTTTTTCTTGCTGTCATTTTTGCTTTGGTTCTCTCCACTGTTTTGAGTTTTTCTGTTAAATCCTTTCCTCTCCTTTCCCTTGAATTTTTATTTGTTTTAAACACTCCATAAAAGTCTATTATGATATCATTCAGGATTCTTAGGCCAAGATTTTATCAGCTGACATCGGTGGGGAAGTGTCTGTGTTTCTCCCTTGAGACATTAGGTCTGCTATCTGTACGTCATTGAGAATTTAGGGATTTAGCTGCATATATGTGAGTTAAAAAGAAATCTTCATGACTGGACATGAAAGATGTTACACTGACGTAAGCTGAAGTTTGGGGGGGGGGGGGGGCTTTGTTGTTCTTAGGGCTGTTTTGTGTTTCTAATATTTCATGTTGAAAATCGGAGGCTAAACTATTCTTTAAAAAAGCACCTTCCATTACGTATATGTGTGTGTGTGTGTATGTATGCCTGAAGAGGAATAAGCAGCTCGTGCTAAATCTGTTCTATTCAGGGGATTGATATGTGTCCAAATGACTATGTGTAGCATTATATAATTTTTTTTCTTAAGTTCTAGGGACAGATTTATGAGAAATCTTGATTATTTTTTTTTCTGTATTCATCAGTTTATTTTTTAATGGATTAATACTGATGACTTTGCAGGAAAATCTTTACAAAAGAATAATTAGAAGAAATTAACAAAGTGCAAGTTTTTCTTCCATCATATGTTCTATATTGGTCTGCTTTAATATGTTGGTTGAAAATTTTTAGCTATGACAGGAACATAAAAAGTAATTGAAATGGATCTTGTTATTCCTATTTCAATAGGAAACAATGGCCAGATCCAGTTGTGGCAGTTTTTATTAGAACTTCTCACTGACAAAGATGCTCGGGACTGTATTTCTTGGGTTGGCGATGAAGGAGAGTTTAAATTGAATCAACCTGAACTGGTTGCACAAAAATGGGGACAGCGCAAAAACAAACCCACGATGAACTACGAGAAGCTTAGTCGGGCTTTGAGGTAAGACTTTTTAGGAACTGATCGAGTATGAAGCGATTTGCTTCCACTTGACTACTTTATTTTTAACTATCATAATGCAAGATTTGCAGCTTTTTTAGTAAAGGGATAAACAAATTCTCAGAAGCTACTCCTTCCCACCAGATCATACTAGTCTTAGGGGCAAGGTGTTTATTTGGGGGGGGGGGGGGTCTTTTGGGTCTTTTCTTTTTTTGGGGGGGGGGGGGTTTTTTGGGTCTTTTCTTTTTTTTTTGTTTTGTTTTTTTTTTTGTTTAAAGAAGCTAGTACAAGAGCTTCTTGAAAATATATTTTATTTTTTCAAGATTATTGAACACTGACACGATAGTTAATTTGGGTGGCTCACTTTTGGAAATATATTTCTTTTTGATGTATCTTCAGCATTTATGCTTTCAGTAGTGTGCCAAACAATATTGATTATTGGTGAAAGATGCAGAAATACGTGAATACTCTGAATTACTGATTTATTTTTGTATTTTACAGTTTACTTGTTTGTGTTCGTCTTGCTCTTGTTATGGTATAAAGCGGATACTTTCCTGTAATTATGTAATCATTAGTAGTTTTCTGTATGTAACAAAACTTAACTAAGTTCAAGTATTCATTGATCCATTCCATTGTTCTTATGGTAGGGATGTTAAACTGAAAAATACAGTTGACAGGTAAGTTTCAACAGTTGTCGTTATTCCAACATAGTGAACTCTTATTATCTGAAAAATGGAAGCGTTTCAGGCTGTCTTCATTCCATCACGATTCTGTAGTTTGACATTGGTAAAAGAGACTTGTATTATTGAATCACTGTAGATGATGTGCTTGAGAATGGGGGAAAATGCAAGTACCTGAATTTTGTACTTTTTGATTATTTGGGCCTCTGGAATCATTTGAGGATTCATCCAAGTTCTCTGAAATCGTTAAGATTGAACTTCTAATTTCTTAATCTGATATGGTTAAATCTATTTCTCTTGATTAGTTTTCAAGGAAGATATTTATTGTCTAATCCTGCAAATTATTTAAGCAGTTTTAGGAACTCTTTTTATATGAATGAAGTTGCATATTGGTTGAAGTCTGAGATCTGAGATTTACTTTTCAGCATTTCCACTTTTGGCTACATTTTTTTTTTTTTAAAAAGGAAGTAAATTCATCTAGCATTGTTTAAAAAAAAATATACATCAACCTCTATTTTTAAATACCTCTATGAGAAATGATAGTAAAGTTACCGTATTCTGGCTTTCTTTAGTCTTTTAGGGAGGATTTAAATAACATCAATATGCATAATGCTGAATGAGTACTTTCACTGTGGGAAATCGAAGTCTAGAAGACCATGAATGGCACAGAGTCAGTAAAGAATGACTGCTCAGCATCTCATTTACATGAACAGGAGGCATCAGAAGAAACGGGCAGGCACCAGATACACAGCTTAACTATACCCTTTCCTCTGTCTTGTAACTTCTTTAGACATAGTATTGCGGATGCCAGAATTATTTTATGAGTTTGAGAGGAAAGTGGACAAATTAATAAAAAAGAAATATTTTGAAGGATATTAGGTATGGAAAGAGGCAACTTCTAGAAGTTCCTGAGCCCCAGATCATTGAAAGCAAGGAAGAGCATCAATATATGCTTACTGTACTTTCATGCTTTTCCTTAGGCATCCTCTTTTGGTCTGTTGAAGACTACATCCTGTTTTGGATAGATCTTTGGTTTGGTCTTGTGTGGCTGTTCTTGCATTATTTCTGTATTAAATTAGAATGTTACTTTGTTCGTAGGATCACAGAATCCCTTGGGTAGGAAGGGCATCAGGAGGTCTCTGGTCCAACCTTCTGCCCAGAGCAAGGCTTTTCCAGTAGAACTGCTCCCCAGCCTGTATTGTTGCAATACCATTCCCATATTTCCAACCTGGTTTTGTAAATCTATGCATTTGTGTACTGAAGGTATATGTGAAAACTTTCTGGAACATAAAAACTATGTAAATGATGCTAATGTTTTTTGGTGGTTTGTCAACAAAATCTGCAGAAGATCTCAAAGGCAGCTGAAGAACTTTAGAATAATGTTCTTATCACTGGGATATTAAACAGATGTCTGCACAGTAATTTGCATAAATCACTGTTAGAGAAGTTTTGCATTTATATTTTAGTCACAGAATTACAGAAATCACATTCCTGAAAATGTTGCCATTTTGGCAGCTGCATCAATATTGACATGTTTTCTAACACTTGAATGTCTGAAGGGATATTTAATGCCTCTTGCTACTCCCATGATAAACACTGTTGCCAAGCTAAACTTTTATTAAATGGTAATATGTTTTGTTTACTAATGTACTGAAATTACTGTGTCAATTGTTAGTTAATACAGAAAACAATGTTGATGATACTGAGAAATGTGCTAGCTCTTCTGCCCAGCTGTAGGAAAACCAGACAGTATAGAAACTAGGGCAGGGTGGAAAACAGAAGAGCAGCTTTTTTTGTTACATACACCTTGGTAAGTTTTCTAAAATCAACATTTCTTTAGTTATCCAGTAGGGAAGTGAGACTCGAAGAAAAATAATTCATCTCCTGTATTATTCTGAAAGAAAGTTTTCGTGTGACTCAGAACATTCCAGTAACTAAGGCTATGTAAATTTGCATGGGTATTTATTTATTTTTAGTTTTCTGTGTTTTTGAATAAGCAAATGCTGTAATCAGAAATGCATTCAACGTAATATTGAAAAAATCCTTTTACCACATTGCCTCAATTCCAACTTGAGTGTTTCTAGCATGAGATGTGGGAATCTTGCATGGTTTTGCATAAACGCAGACTAATCTCTTGTGGTTCTTTTTCCTTTCTGATCATAGCAGTAATGCAGACTAAATCATTTAAAGAAATGTATTCACTTTTGTAAAGCATTTTTCTACAGCATTATTTTGAGACGGGCATTATTGTACAGGATTGTACAATAAATGTAAATGCTTGTACAATGTTAAGTAACTTCAAAACCAAAAAAATCTTGGCCAGTGGCATTTGACATATGCCATGGCCACATTTTTCAAACTCTGGCTTTCTGCAGATGCTTCGTATTGAACCAGGTGAGCACAGCTCCCCGTTCCCCAATTTCTCTATGTCCAGTACCCTCTCACATTCAACATGAATGCCTGCCCAGTGTTCCCACATGCTAAACTATACTGTATCTCTCTAAGCTGTATGGTATTTCACACACGAGGGATACACCAGGCTATTGCTCGTCCTTCCCTAATTCTGCCCAGTACCACAAGACTGTACTTGAAAGCTGAACGTAAATTACCATCCCACCCTCTAGGTTACAGGGTTCATCTGACCCGTTATAACTAAACCTCCTTGCCTCACTGGGAAGCTGAATGTGATGGACACCATATAACAGATGCTTCAGCTGGTGCCAGGAAGATGCTTTGGAGGATAGGGCTGGCGTGGAGAAGTGCTGAGTGGCAGTGGAGCAGCAGCAAAGAACAAGCAAAGTGATGTGAAGAAGAAAATAGAGAGGAGTTGAGGGAGGCGCAGGTGCTAGCTTGGGGGGATGCAGTGAGGAGAAGGACTGAAGAGGAAGCTTTTCTGTAACTATATGGCATTGAGGAATATCACCTCTTTCCCACTAGAGCTGGGAGACAGAAGTTAGTCTTTTAATTGACTTGATTCTCATTCACCAGCAAAATTATCTTTGCTTTACAAGCATGTATGTCACTTAGAGGATTGAGTTTCAGACAGTCGTGAAATCTGGGCTCATTTGTACTACATTTGGGTGATGGTTTTGAGGAAATTAAACTGTGAGTTGTTGTTGTTGTTGTTTTGTTTATTTGTTTGGGTTTGGTTTTGATTTTTTTCCAAATTTATCACAAGCTTGTTAAGCTCATCAAGTCCAAGTTATGTCCCAGCCACTTAGGTTTTCTTAATGAGAAATGTGACATACGTTCTATTAATGCCTGCAGTGAGATAAGATCAGCAACAAAACTGTACAATTCTAACTCCTGTTTTACTGGTATCACCTAAAGTTTTACAATGTCTCTGGAGTACAGTGAGTCATGTAGACTTTGTTATCTTTACTGCATTTCTGCCCAGTATGACAATTCTTTCATGACACAATGTAAAAAGTATTCATAGTTAGAGAAGTCACTTAGTTGTAAATAAAGGCAAAGGATGTAGTTTTGCCAGCATATGAACTACTAAAAAAAAAACAACCCACCCAAACATGCCTTTATAGTTTTACTTCCATCTTTGAAAACAATAGGGAGGGAATGGTTGCTTTAGTATCATAGAAACTAAAACTACAATGCTAATTTTCAAACTGTTTCCAACATGATTTTTTTTCCTCAGAATAGCAGAGGCAAGTGTAAAGAAAGCAAAGGACAATAATGAGGGGGGAGAGACGATACATTTTCTTCTTAAGGCAGAGCACTATATAAAACTTATTCCCCCCCAAGCTGTTTTTAAACTGCTCTGATACCCTCATTTCTGAACTGGTGCTTCCGACTGCCTATAAAATAATTACTGTGTTTTGTTTCTCCTTGACGTATCAAGGTGCAGGGACAATTTTCAACCCTCTTCACTTTTCTCATACAAGAAAACGCCTAAACAGTATCTTGGTATCTGAAATTACATGAGAATCTTGATGAGAAAAAGACTCATATTTTGGCCTCTGAGTGACCTTAAGTGAATAACCGATGCATATGGAAGTTACAGATGCTGAAAATTCACATCGATTTTTTTCTTTATTTATTTTTTTCTTTTTACAGGTATTACTATGATGGAGACATGATCTGCAAAGTGCAAGGCAAGAGGTTCGTGTACAAATTTGTTTGCGACTTGAAAACTCTCATTGGCTACAGCGCAGCAGAGTTGAATCGGTTGGTCACAGAATGTGAGCAGAAGAAGCTAGCCAAGATGCAGCTTCATGGCATTGCACAGCCAGTTACAGCAGTGGCACTAGCTACAGCATCCCTGCAAACAGAGAAAGATAATTAAGCACTAGGACCTGAAATTGGGAGCCTGAGGCCTTTCCTATATAACGAGAGCAGTTGCTGCTCTTACCTTTATCAGAATTGGAAACTTCTTTTGTTCCTTGACAGTACAACGTAGAGCATGATTTTCTATAAAGAACTGGGACTCGCGTAAATTTGGATCTTTTAACAGCATATATTTCAATATAAGTTAAGGGATCACCACAAATTCTGCCACTTTGAGTCAGGGCCTCTGTCGTATGCAATCTGGAATTGGTGAGAAAGGTTGAACCGGTCAGTGCTCTGTGTCCACAGCTGTGCAAAGTAGTTTTTGCAGCGCTTTTAACAAAAATGAAGTACCTACAGCAAGCAGGCTGATCAGATGTCTGAACTCAGTCCTTTCCAGTCTCTTGTTCTCTGCTGAACTACCAAATGGCATTTGATGCTTTCAAAGTTAAACATGTTCATTATTCTCATTTAATCAAGCAGAGCCGAAAGACACATTAAACGTTACAAGCATCAGGTTCTTAAAATAGCTTCTGTGTTTGTAAGCAAGGGAAACTAAGACTAGACTGAACTGAAGATCAGTGCTGAAGAAGGAGATCCGGGTTTAGATCTGGCTTGGGTGAAAAGCCAATTATGAGTATTTCATTGTAATATGTAGATAATATGCATATATGAGGGCAAGTACTTAACCTGTTTTGAAAGACATTGTTAACGCTAGCCATTTAGCAAAAAGCGAAGACAGACGACTTCCCCCGCTACCACCCCCCATCAGGTGATTTGAAAACTTGAAAAAATAGCCCTCACCCAAAGAGTAGTTTGTTTTGGTGGGAGTTTTTAATGCTCTGTTCTGCGAGGTGCTTATACCTGCACGGTAGTCAACCTTAGTAACTGAAGACTTAAGTTAGTCACAGTCAGTAGTCCCTGTTTAGAAACAAAATGCAAGTTGAAAATAGTTTTACAGAGAACTGAAGTTTAATTTCCAAATTATTGTACAGTCTGACATATATTAAAATATGAAGATGTATTTTTTATTTAAAACTAATTTCTTTCTGGACTTCAAGTGATGTTATTGAAGCTTCATAAGCCAAATGCATGCTCCAGAGCTGGGTGCGATTTGAAGTCTGGGTGATGAATAGAAATAGTTGGAACGTATCCTGAATTCTGAGCTACAGAGAGTACTTCATGCCAACTTATACCTGCAGTAAAAAGTAGGCTGCAACTTTTGAGCTTCTGTACTGATGCCTGTTAGGCTTTTTCTTTTGATGGCTGAAAATGGTGCAATTTGGGGTTTGCTTTTGCCCCTTCATGTTATTAAATGGTATAAATATTGTGTTGCCATACATGTTTTCCAACTTTTTGTAAGTGCAAACACCCTCTGGTAACACATAACAATTAAAATGTAAGTGTGTAAGGGAAAACTTTAAAAAAAAAAAAATCTGTGAGGGATCGAGCTACTCTTAAACCTTAAATCAAAAGTGCTTGTGCAGTGAGGTTCTAAACGTCTAATGTGTTTGTACTGAGTAGTGAGAGCACTGGGCTGTTGCTCTTGATCTGAAAAGGAACGGTCTTACTTGGAGGCAGAGGGCAAAGAATGCAGAAGACTCATGTTTATTTTGAAGATGCATTGAGGACAAAGCTTTTTGTTTATAGGTGGATGGTCCTCTGCAAATAGTTTTTGCTTAACTAGAAATCTTGCATGTAGTTCTAGCCTGCTTTTTTCATCATCACCACAATTACAATTTTTTTTTTGCCAGATTCTTTAACTCGTCATATTGTTTTCATTCTTGAGCTCTTAAAGCACTCCATCTGCTGAGCATGCTGGTTTTATTTTGTTTTTAAAAAAAATCTTAAGCCCTGAGCAAAATACGTAAATGCATCTGTCACGAGAGGTCAACCATCAGTCCACTTATTACTGTTACAGTAGTTTGATTCCACCAGCTGGCAAGTGTTTGAGGTGACTGACGCAAATAGATGCAGGTTTGCCTACTAAGAATAAGATGAAACTGGTAGTTCGGTGGCAGCAACTAGGTATGTAACACCGCTCCATTGCTAAACAGAAGTCCAATACAAGACACTAGTTTTATTTAGCAGAGTTCTTGAGAGGCCTTTTTAGTGCAAATACAGTATAAAAGGAAGAGGAGATGAAAATACTAGCTTTCTAGATCAAACTGGACCATGGGAGGATAAACTAACAGCGAAAATGAAATGTAGTGTCAGTACTTTATCCCCCTGACTGCTCTTGTGACATGATGAGCCCTCGAGGGGAAACTTCTGATATCGCGCTGCCTTTGTAAATACCTCCAATTATTGTTTTGCAGCTCTTCAGTAGGTATGGTAGTCCTTTGGGTTCTTTGTTGTGGGATCATCTGCTTTTCCACTGTGTTCTAATTAGTAAAGAAGGAATCTTTCAAACAGTATAAAATCGCTGTCGCATTCTCTGTAGTTGAGGGAGAAATCTGTGACTAACTTCATGTCTTCAATAAAATAAAAGATGTAGAATATATTGTCAAAGGTTGTTCTGTTGCTGCCGGAAGGAAAACATAGAAAGAATATTCCCAATTTTTTGTAAAACGGAAGGTTTTTTGCCTACTTTTTACTCTTTAAATAAAGACACTTATACTCTGCTAATAATTATGTATTTCTTTTGTGTTTTGCATTTTTTTGGTAATTTTACATGAAACAATTGTTTTCTATTTTTACTCTTGATAAAATATTTGTGCATAAAATGTCAATATAGTAAAATAAAAAAGTTATACAGCTAGTGCCTGTTGACCTCTTAATTTTTCAGAAACCCGTTTGTAATGTCATTCCGGTGCAACCAGTTTCAAGATGAATGCATGCACTTCATTCTCATTAGCCTTAAGATCACAAGCTCTTTACAGGAAGACGGCAGACTGTTTTCTGAAGATGCATCTTCTTTGACTCGATACTTGGCTACATGTTTCTACTTTTAAAGTGGAACTGGGTGTCCTTCATTACTGTAACAGCTTTCTTTAACATCTTAATTAGTCTCAAAACGCTGCTTTGATAAGAATGAAGGAAGTGTAACAGTAGGACAAAATGGAGCCCTGTAAAATAGTTACTTTTATGCCTTTAGGAGTGTTTAAATTGGAAAGGTTCGTGTTGATCTGTGATCTTTGGACTTTGTTTCATTCTTGCAAATAGCCCTGCTGGCTTCATGTGGCTCACTAACCCAGTTGTTAGTACTGTCCTTGTTAAAAAGAAGAAAAAAATCTGATTATACTCTCATGACCTTATTTTTCAATCATGTCTCAATAGAAATATTCTTATGATACCTCTGAACTCCTCCATCTGGACTGCCAAATTCAAGACTGAAATATTTTGTCATCTTTAAACCTACCAGATCACTTGATTTCAAAATGTTTATGTTTAGCTCAGCAGCAACAGCATGTAATGGACTGAAAATAATTTTTGAGAACATTTCAACAATTTGTTGGCCTTCTTTTAGAGTACACTTAAAAATGTTCAGTATTGTATTAATTGAGGACCTTTTGTTTGTGTTTATAGTTATTAGTATCTTTATGCTGGTGAGAGTTTGTTTTGGGATTCCCATTCTCAGACTGAAACTTTTATTGGAACAATATAGGGAATTACAGACTAACAGCTGCAATTAGCAGTCCTAAGCAAAATAAGCTGGCATGTGGTTCCATTGCCTGATAGTGAAACAAGGTTGATATAAGGTCCATTGACAGAGGTTTATGGGAAATTCTTTCTTTTTTTTTTTTTTTTTTTTTTTTTTAAAGCAGCATGATGTAAGATCCATTCACACAGGTCTACAGGGAATATTTTTACTGACGAGGCTGGTGGGTTTTGTTTTTCAAGATCGTACATATTCTTGAAGGTTGTGGTTTTGATATGGCTATATCAGGACTTCTACAATATATTCGGTTTGATACTGTATAATTTTCTTGTCTTTTGGAAAAGTAATTCTTAATATGGATGATGCTAAACAGAAGATTACTCAATAGTTAAAGGAGAGGAATGATTGACTGGTTTGAGAGTTGTGATGCAGAACCCAGTACATGAGACATAATATGACTCAGTTAAATTTTGCCTCACTATTTCAGGATTAGAGCTCACAGCATCTAATCAGGCACCAAACTGAGATTTCATCATCTTGTAACTTCAGAGTATCGACATGTTAGCCATTAATAGTTTGAAACTAAGGTTAAAAAATGCTGAGGAGGAAGAAACAAATGTTGAGTGTCTGCCTTTAATTAAAATTGTTCTTTTTCTCGTGGAACTGGTCTTCTGGAAACCGGAATTAAATGGCACTAATGGCAGCGGTACCAGAAGAGGTATCTGTAACCCATGAAATGGTTCGCTTTTACCTGGAAAAACAGAGGAATCGGTTGTTGTGTTTGTGGTGCGTGACACACAATGTCCACGTAGGTTCTTTTTGTAGGTGGTGTCACCATAACTGGCTATGATGGGAAAGAAAGAATCCAAAGGTAATTAGTTATTGATCATAGTTGTAAGCAACTTACTTACGCAGTTACTTAATAAAGGCAGTTTAAAAGAGAAGGTAACTCTATCAGAAACAGCTGAAATCCTCATGTAAATAGTTGCCTCATGTTACCAGAAACACCTGAAACTTACCTGCAGTGCATTAGTTTTTAGTTGCCCAACAGCTCTTGACTTGTAAAGCAACTGCTACACAGCAGATAGGAATAAAATTTCAGTTTACTCTTTATAGTCATTTTCAGGTTGCTGGCATTGAAATGATTGTTCAGAAACAGCAGGAAAAACGCTTGTTTAGTTTAGCACAGCTTTGGTGAGTGTGAAAACTTGTGGAAACATTTAATTTTGTCTAGTGACTTGCTTCAGGTATTTGCTGCTAATGATCTAAATGAGCTGGGAGTCTTTAGTATTAAAAAACCCCATTGCCCCTAATAGATCTGATATCTTAAGACATGTTTGGGTTTTTTTTTTTCCTTACTTTTGCAACCTGCCTTGTAACCTAAATGGAAGAAATTAGCTTTTAGGAGCTGTATTTCTAGTCCTGTGTGTGCTACGTGTCAGAATTCACAAATCAAAGTAGAATACCCCCATCTCAGTAGACAAAAAGCAGATTATATAAATTACATCTATGAGAATAGAATATGTAATATATATCAATTATAGATTATAATTGAAGCAAGCGTGGATGGCACTAAACAAACTGTTTCTTAGAAGAGTTGTTTATCTGAAATTCCTCCCACTTCGGGAAGGGTATTTTGGGTTGAAAAAATGTTAGTTAGCTGTTTCCCTTTTCATCCCAGTAAGGTTAGGTTTTTCAATATTCTCATTTTCAAGGACTCTGCAGGAACTGCTTCA